GCCTCCCAAAGGCGCGGGATTACAGGCTGAGCCACCGAGCCCAGCTGCATTTCATCTTTAATTAAACAGCTGCGGCCGGGTGTGGTGGCTCACGCCTGTAATCCCAGCACATTGGGAAGCTGTGGCAAGATAATTTCCTAAACCCAGGGGTTCTAGACCAGCCTGGACAACTTGACAAGACAACATGTCTACAAGAAATCAAAAAATTAGCCGGGTGTGGTAGTGCACCCCTGTAGTTCTGGCTACTTGGAAGGCTGGGGCGGAAGGATCACCGGAGCCCAGCAGGTGGACACTGGGGTGGCTGTGAGCATGCCACTGCCCTCCAGCCTGGGCAACAGAGCGAGACTCCGATTCAAAAAAACAAACAGCTGAGGTCTGGGGGTTGGTAGGATGGGGGGGGTCTGTCACTGTGTTTTCCCTTTTAAAGTTTGCTTAGGGCCAGGAGCTTGGCTCACACCTGTAATCCCAGCACTTTGGGAGGCCAGGATGCCAGGAGTTCAAGACTAGCTTGGGCAGCATAGCAAGACCCTGTCTCTACAAAAAAAATAAAAACAAATAAAAGGCTGGATGTTGTGGCTCATGCCTGTAATTCCAACACTTTGGGAGGCCAATACAGATTGCTTGCACCCAAGAGTTTGAGACCAGTCTGGGCAACATAGCAAGACCTCATCTCTACAAAAAATAATAATTAAAAAAACACTAGTTGGGCACGGTGGAGTGCACCTGTAGTCTCAGCAACTCAGGATGCTGAGATGGGAGGATTATTTGAGGCCAGGAGTTTGCGGTTGTAATCATGCCACTGCACTCTAGCCTGGGTAACAGAGCAAGATCCTGTCTCCAAAAATAAATACCATGAAGCGGATAGGTGCGGTGGCTCATGCCTATAATCCCAGCACTTTGGGAGGCTGAGGTGAGAGGATTGCCTGAGTTCAAGCCCAGTCTGGGCAACTTGGCGAGATCTCGTCTCTACAATAAATCACAGAAGAAACAGCCAGGCATGGTGGCACACATCTGTGGTTCCAGCTACTTGGAAGGCCAAGGGGGAAGGATCGCCGGAGCCCAGCAGGTCGAAGCTGTGGTGGCCGGGAGCGTGCCGCTGCCCTCCAGTCTGGGCGACAGAGGGAGACCCAATTCAAAAAATGAAAAACACAATGAAGCGTGCTTTGGTGGAAAGCACGATGGACACAGACAGCCCCGTTTGTGTCCCCTTCCACACCACTGCTATCCCAGCCGTCCTCGGTCTTGCGCTCTTCCAGTGTGAAATGGGGCAACACAGACCTCCCTGGATCACCAGGGCTCAGGCAAACCCAGCACAAGAGGAACCCCCATGGGAGCCGCTGGGTGGGGCAGGGAGGGAGGGCCACCCGGTGGCATGTAGACACATGCAAACGGTGGCACCGGACGCCGGCCACCCCGGCCGGGCCCTGGAGACCCCCGGGCACCCGTTTGTGTCCTGTCTTTGGCCACACGTCTGCCAGGAGCAGAGCCCGCCCCAGCACCCCAGGTCTGCACTCTCGAGAAGTATCATTCCCCATGTGTCACCCTTCCTGTCTGTGACATCATCTGGTCCTGGCCGGCCCTGCCTTAATTGCACTTTTGTCGCTGGTCTGTCTGCTTTGTCTGCCTTTGGCATCCCAGCTACCTTGTCCTTGGGGCTGGTGTGGAGCCGGCCTGGCTCTGGAGCCCAGAAACCCTTGTTTATTGGGCCCTGCCCAGTGCCAAGGCACCTACTTATCTGCCTGCGGCCAAGGCGGAGACCGGCTGGAGACACCGTGGGGACCCCAGAAGGCGCCCTGGCCCAGGCCTCGGCCTTCAAGTCCTCCTCACCGGGCCTCCCCCTCCCAGTCCATAAACCACTTCGTGCTTGGCTCTCACCCAGCCCAAGGAAAGAGGGTCGGCCAGGGCGGCAACTTCTCCCTACGGGCCTCACCCTCCTAGCAGCCGGCGGCACCAGGCAGGGCCACCCTGCCCCACAGCCTTGTCACTTGGTGCCTGCCGACATCTTGGCCCCCGGACGCTCTGCCAGCACGTCCACAGGCACTGAGGGAGGAGGGCCCCTGGAACACATGACCAGGCACCAGCTTCAGCACAGTATGACGTTTTAATGCGAGGAAGAAGTAAGTCTGCAGTCACTGTTCCTCCCACCGTGGGCAGGAGTGGCCCACCTCCAACAGTGACCGCGCGGAGAGGACGCGCCCGCACCTGGCCTCACCGGATACTGTGCAGCGCACGGGCCGCGCAGCTGAAGATGACCCAGCGCCGGGGGTGATGCCCTGAAGCCCACCTGCCAGCGTGCCCGGGGGGGAAGCCCTGGGATGCAGCACGCGGGCCGCTCCACCTGCCTCAGTGCTGTGACCCCCAGCGGGCGGCCGCTGGCCTGCGAGGGTCCCAAGGCCGTGCTTGATGTCAGCCAGAGGCCAAGGCCGAGTGGGGAGGCCTGAACGGCCCAGGCTGCTCACCGGCTCTTGCCTGGTTTCACGGCTCAGCCTGGGGGGTGGAGGCGTGCTAAGGACTTCAAGTCACCCCGCCCTCCTCTGCGCAACAAGAGAGGAAGGAGGGCAGGAAACGAGGGGGATAAAAAGGGAAGGGGCTGGGTTTCCCCCGGTCCCTGCTGTCTGGACCCCAGGCCCGGCCGGAGTCTCGGGATTCCCCTTGCCAGCACCAAACTGTCAGGACACCCAACGCTCACCTGGGGCCAGGGGAGGGGGCGTCAGGAAGCTCAGCCGAGAAGCACAACTTGGGGCTCAGGGCGGAGTCCTGAGCGCCCACACCTGACGGCTCCTGGGTGGAGCTGTCTTGGTTTGGGGGAGGGGGAGACAAAATCACAGCTTCTGAACAGCGGTCGGAAGTTACTGGAAAAGCTGGTCAAGTATGAAAAGTGTTGCTTTACAGAACAGAAACTAGCTTCTATCTTTTTCTGGAAGATGCTGTCTCCCTCTTCCCCCTAAGACCTCGGTGCCCCCTGAGCTGGGGTGGAGCGTCCGGGCTGACGGGTGCAGGGGGGGAAGGGCAGGGCCTGGAACACAGGG